ATTACAATACTAAATTATTAAATATCCATTTCATAATATATTTAATTGCTATATAAATATTTATTCATATATTATACTTACAAATCATAAAACTATTAATCAGGATATAAAAAAGGAAAAAGGAGATCATGTAGCTTATGGAATGATTAACCAATTTTTTAAAATTAAACACTATCTACAGATTTGTATAGTAGCCTTTTTTATGATAGTGATTTTAATCATTGTCAGATATCATCTATACGGGACCCAACTATGCTACGTCCCCACTGTACTAAATTTTTTAAAATTATTTATGATCTTCCTATAGCAAATTAAAGTTAGTCAAAATTTTATTATTTTAAGATTTTAATAAAATCTACTTACTAGAATTATTTTGTTCGATGGCAATATATTTTGATTCCAAATTCAAATACTTATCATGTAATTCATCATATTTTTCAATACAATTTTGACACTTGTTATTAACTTCAAACATTTTATTTATATTTCCTACAGATTTTCCTGTTTCTTCAATACATTCATTCTCATTGTCAAAAAATTTTTTCTCCGTAAATGAAATATTCTCGGAGCGATTTTTTTCTTTAACCTAATTCAAGTATTTATAAATGTTGAATAAGTAGTGCTATTTTTTAAATTTATCAAGATAAATAGTAGATGGTAGTAGCTCATTAACCGTGACATTTGATTGTTCAGCTAATACTTCACAATTGTTTTGTTCAGCTGCTTCATTTTGAGTGGAATCCATTTGATACTATACAACAATATTGACAAATAAAAAAAAATAGTATAATAATACTTTGTTTTATTATATTTTTAAGGTTAATATTTATTATATTATAAGGTTTTTACTTTGACTTTTTTCATATATAAATCTATAATTGTTTTCAAAGAACTTGACATTTTTATTAAATTTTCCCNAATTTGTTTTCAAAGAACTTGACATTTTCATTATATTTTCCCACGATATAACTCTAAAAAGTTTTAATGTATATAATTTAACTTAAACATTCTTCTAAAACACATGATATATTTTTACGACTGTGAAGATAGCAATTCCTTTATAGCAATTTCTAATCAGATATAATTCTAATATACACCGCTAGAGGACGCCAGTTGGTTTAAAAATGTGTTATATTATATTTTACTTTTCACAATAAGTTCCGAAA